CAAGGTACATTGAACAGGTAGTATCAGTAGAGCAGCTGATTTGATTTATTTTCAAATTATTTGGTCTCGAAAATGTCAAATATTTTTAATTTAAAAATTCTGAATTGTTAAAATCCATTTGCATGTGAAACCTTTTCTCATACAAAACAAGCGATTGAATAGCAGCTTTTGGAACGTTGGCCCAACTCGGCAGCACGACCGCTGATTACTGGGCCTTGCAAAGGATGGATCAATGCTTCGAGAAGCAAACAAATTTACTAGGAAAGAAAGTTGCATCAATTTTTATTTTTTCCAATTTAAATTTTATATTTTTTATAATTTTTTGTATTTCACATGGCACGCTTTGATTTAGAAGAAAAAATTCAGAACAGTTTTTGACACTTTCGATACCAGAAGCAACAACAAAATACACGCAAATGTTGTTTTTGCTCTACTGATACTACCTGTTTAATGTGCCTTGAGTCACACAATAAGGAAATGCAATACTATGGTAAGAAGATATATCGTACACTACAATGTATATGCGATCAGAAGGAAAAAAAAACTAAATGAAATTAAACGTCATAATTCTGAGATGGAAAAGATGCGAAGAATAGAAATTGAGAGCCTCATTGAAAATAATACAAAGACGTTAGAGTTAAAGGAACTAAAATTAGAAATTCTAAGAAAAGGCAAATCCAAAAATTAAGAGCCTAATTTTTATAAGACTTATGCCCGGTTGATTGGTGCAATTTCAAACTTATCAGCCTGTTAAAATTTCAAATTACACAATTTTTCCGGAAAATATGTAATTTTAAATTTTAAGAGTATGATAAATTATAAAACTGATTGGTGAAACCGAGCATTATTTTTTAATTTTTTTAAAGATCTCGTTTTTTCATATTTTTATTTATATAAAGAGCTTTGTTGAATTAAAGGCCAATTTATGAAACTTACTGTAATGAAATGTTTATGTTTGTGTTTTATATACATACAGTCATGTGAAAAAGAGGAGGGACACGATATTCTGACTATTTTTCGTTTGCTTGTTTAATGTTAAATATGTTTTTTTTTTATAAGAATACAGCTCGTTATCTAGCAACAACTATATAAGTCCAAATTTCGAACTCGTAGAAAAATTCAGCAAAATTTTACAACAAACTTTTTGTTCAGAATTTCAAGAAGAGTTCTAAGTATGCAGTTTTATAGCCCATTAAATAAAGTGCAAATTTAAAGTTGGTGAAAAATCCCGTTGCTTTTTGAAAAAAAATTTTTTCGACAATTTTTTTTTTTGTATGGAAGAAAATGCGTGACACCGTCAGAAAAAATTTTTTATCAAAACTTAACGAGATTTTTCACCAACTTTAAACTTGCACTTTATTATGCTAGAATTTAATGGGCTATAAAACTGCATACTTAGAACTCTTCTTGAAATTCTGAATAAAAAGTTTGTTGTAAAATTTTGCTGAATTTTTCTACGAGTTCGAAATTTGGACTTATATAGTTGTTGCTAGATAACGAGCTGTATTCTTATAAAAAAAAACAAATTTAACATTAAACAAGCAAAAGACAAATAGTCAAAACTAGTCAGAATATCGTGTCCCTATCTTTTTCACATGACTATCTTATATGTAAATAAGATAGGAAATTATCTTGAAAATATTTTTAAATAAAGCTAAATAAAGAATTTAAATTTGTATTCTTTGCTCAAAGGGGGAAGGTACTACTTCCTTCGACTACTGGTTGATTGTCTTCTGTGGAGATTTCACTGAAATCTTCATCAACAGATGGGTTAGAAAAATTTACATCACTTTTGTAGTGAATGCAAATATTATGCAAAGCTGCGCAAACGTTTACTATTTTACTGCCTTTATAGGAGCATAGTACAACTCTCACTAGCACTTAACAGGCACCTCCATCGGTTTTTAAGAACACCATTTCTTCTTTCGATTATATTTCGACAGCGTGTGTGTACTTCATTAAATTTGGCCTGAGCTGAACCACTTTCAGGTGTTCTGTACGGAGTAAGTAGCCAAGGCTCTAGGGGGTACCCAGCATCTCCTGAAAAGTTTGAAATTGTAAATTGATTTTTCGTTGGTTTTAAGCTATTACCTAGTAGCCAAACTTTGTTGTGGGTTTGCAAATAGTTTTGTTCCATTTCAAATCTTAAACTGGTTATGTTCCATATAAAGGCATCGTGACATACACCAGGGTGTGTAGCATCAATAAAGCGAATTCTCAGATGGCTGTCACATACCTGAAAAAAAAAACATTTATGTAAACCATTATTTTTATTTTAACTTAAATTATGGGGATTCATGGAAACACACTTACGAGCATAACATTCAAACTGCAATTGCCTTTTCTATTGTAAAATTGATGAATGTTTTTTGAAGGGGATATTATGTTGACGTGAGTTCCATCCACACATCCTATAACTCCTGGTATTGCAAATTTTGTATAAAAATCGTGTGCAATTTGGCGTTGCTCTTCTAAAGTGGGCCAACTTATCCATTGTGGACAAAGCAATAGCTGCAAAATACTTAGCACTTCTGACAGTACCTCGCTAAAGGAAGTCTGAGTTAAACCCACTTCATGGTCCTTTCCAACGCCTTTCTGATGTCCTCCCTCTGCAAAAAAGCGCAAACATGCGCACAATTTAACAATAGGTGGAATTCCAAATTTCTGCTTCAATGGCGGCAAGGAGTTAGTAAGAATATCCAGCAAATACTTAAATGCGGGCTTATTTAGCCTGTAATATTACCGAAAACTGAAATATAAGAAATTTAAAGGGTTGGAATTGTCCCTTAATTGCCTCCTGAGCGCTCTCCCGTTCAAATTCTCCTCACGCTCGCTCAATAGTAACCTAAGTGCAATGCTAAACATGTTGCTAAATATTTTTTTGGGCTCTATTTTTACTTTATTTTAAAGAATTTTATGCTTGCTTACAAAATTAACACAGTAGCAAGTAAATAATTTCGTCACAATTAATTCACCATAGAGTATCAGCTGATTCGAAGTGAAATTTTGTTCGGCCGAAATTGTGGATAGGCGGAATAATTTTACCCGAATAAAAAAAGTTTCGGCGAAATTTTTTCCGGGTGAACTTCTCGATAAGGGTGAATATCTACATGTACTATTTATTCTGTTTGTTGGCACTATATCCAAACACAAGCGCATCTTAAGTGTCTTAACA